ATGTGATCAACCTGCATCAGTGGAAACATTCCATTTGCCTTTCAGTGCACTCAGTATAGCTCAGTCTAGCAAAGTTAGAGCAATTTAATAGGGAGTATATATATACATCCAGCAAAATTTGCTGTGGCTGATGGGACAGTTTGTAAAAGTGACGCAAAGAGACAAGTGATTGATGTACATGCTGTACCCAAAAATCGCTGGTAGTAAGATAAATTTTCATGAAATGTGTTCAGCAACGCTTGACGACAGATGTGATAGGAGTGTCAGTCAGAGAGGTCTGATGATCTAGAGTGTTCGGATAATATCTTGCAAGGCAGCCATGTTATGCCTCATATTCATTCGAATAATTTGCTAGTGTGAAAATGAGAAGATTCTACTCACGTGCCAGCATACATTTTCATAAGCAGTCTTATAGAGTATCAGGCTTCACAGCACTTTGCCATGGAAATAGCTGGATTGTCATGGTAACTTCCAGGTATATTTACTGTGGAAAGAGCTTACAGTTTATTAATTACACTTATTGTAGATACGGTGACTTTGGGACAACATGGCTTAATGTTTGCTTGGGTTCTCCGATATTGTGAAACTGAAATATCCAGAGATATCCTAAGACGCTGTCCGGGTAAGTAAGGCGAGGTGCATTTTTCATCAGCACCATCAGTGAACCTCGCTGGCTGAGCCTGCGTGATGCTTCTGGCGCACCGGGGATGATTAAGGAGTTTAATTCTTTCGTGCCTGACAAAGTACCGAAGATATGCATGTAAAGCCCACATTAATTAAAATGACCTGCCACGGTCCCTGTGACATCACAGGCCTAATACTTTGTGCTAATTGTTAGCCCCCCCCCTTCCCCTTAACTGGGATTTGCAGATTTGGAAAAGAACAGCTGCCCCCTGTCCCTTTATGGCCGCAGTCCGCTTCTCTGGTGCCCCCACCGAGAGAGTCTTGCCCTCCCCAGCTCCCAATGCATCTTACAGACATATTTTGAACCATAACTTTTAAAAATATTTTCCTTACTTGTTCAGCACATTAGTTCGCTCTACTCTTTTGGAACTCCTGTTAAATAAACCTCTGCATGAGCACTGCAGGCAGATAATTACAGATTTTTATGTAAATCTGATTAAAAACTTGAAAATGCAATATCTGCTAATAAATATATCCTAGTTAAAATATTAGACATACAGCCGCAAAAAAAATTAAGAGAACACAGCACAATTTTTTGTTTCACTCATTTCTCAATTTACGGGTCTGCGTCTGTGAATAATATATATTTTTCTGCAAACTGCAGCCTGGTTCTTCTCTGTTTCTTATTAATGAAGGGCTTCTTCCTTGCTTTATGGGACCTCAGTCCTGTTTCTAGGAGCCTGATACAAACTATCCTATCAGTGCACCTCAAACCGCACTTAATGTTTCCCATTCCTTTTGAGGGTCACTTGATGTCATCCTCCGATTCATGAGAAACTGCCGAATAAGTTAACGGTCATCTCTGGCATTAGAAAGTCGCTTCCGCCTTTTACCTGGCTGGTTTCTGGTCATTCCCGGTGTCTCCTGCTTCACCTTATTCTTGTGTACCGCTGTCTTAGATACTCTGAGCCTGGAAGCATCCTGATGCTCAGCGCAGCTTCTGCCAGCAGAACCACAATTAAACCATGATTTAAAAATGCAGATTTGTTTAAAAATATACAGCGGTCTCTTAATTTTTTACACGGCTATTAATTGTTTCCCTATGGATATTGTTCTGTTCTTCAAGAACATCTGTGATACGTCTACTTTAAGCATCACACCAGAGCACTTTTCATTTACCCTTAGAGAACCCCTGTAAAATATACCCCAGTGGCTGAAAACAGATTTTATATTTCTGCCCCTTATATGTATTCTCCATCTTGCGTGGTCACTGTCACCTAAAAAAAAAAAAAATGTACGAAAGTTAGTCCTTGCTGCACAGATACTGAGGTACTTGAAATTCTTCTCGTGTGTTCTTTCCTACCAGTAGGAGCCTTTGAGGATAACAAAAGTATTCATGAGGTTTTAAAGAATTCATCAAGGTCCTCGGGTCACCCAAACGGTCATACTGTATTCCTTTAATTATATGAAATCTCATCAAAGCATTTACCTCTTTCAACTTCCATCTCTGTTCACTAATATTAACTCCTTCCGCTGCAGGTGGAAATAACGTGCAATATCTGCTATGTTGATCTCCTAGCCTGGGAATTATCTTTGACATTCATTGACAGCTGCTATGCTAGTGTATTGTTTTGCTGCTCAGTCCTTCATGCTTGATACTGTGTTACCTTTTACCAACTCGACCTATTCTGGTTGTGATGTTCTTGTGCAAGGAATTGAACTGGGAACTGTGAGAGTAGCTCTTCACCAGGTTTATTTAAAAACAGAAGATTTCTCGAGATTTGTCAAAGTGGCTATTCGACCTCATCTCCCTGTTTCGGGAATAAATCTCATTTTGGGAAATGATATCGCGGGAGGGAAGGTAGTTCCACTACCTGAGGTTGCGTCAGAACCAGATTACTGCTCAGACGATTTAGAACGTGACTACCCTGCTGTGTTTCCCATCTGCATCCTCACTCGTGCACAGGCTCGAAAATTTGTGGATATTAATCTGGCTGACACCTTCATTGGTGACCCTTTGGTCTCCGTTCTGCCCCCGTGCCCTAGCGTTGACCCTGTGGTAAAGAAACAAGTTTCACCGCAACTTTTGGCCACTGATACAATCAGTGACTTTCAGCAGTACTGTTGGGCAGAATGGCCTACTGGAGATTTTGGGTAAGCGTATCACATGCTGAAGTACCTGCCAGTGGTCAGCTGCTTATGCTGCTGGGTTGGTTTCCGTGGGAACCCCTGTAGCGAATGTACCATGCTGAAGTTCATGCAGGGTGCTTACAGTACCAGTCAAAAGTGTGGAGATGCCAATCAACTTACAAGGGAGAGTGATAGTGTCGCATCATATGACTTGGCCACCTGAACTGAATGCAGTAGAAATAGTTTTGGGGGAGTTTGACCAGAGAATGAAGGAAAAGTGAGCATTGAGTGCTCAGCGTATGTGGAGCCTCCTTCAGGACAGCTGGAAAAGCATCCTTAGAGGCCACTTGCGTAAAGGAGTAAGTAGGATCAGCCAGTAGCTGGAGCAATTGGGGTTAAGGGCTTTGCTCAACGGACCAAGGGTGGGATCACACTGCCGACCCAGGGATTTGAACTTCTGAATCCCAACCCACAGAGCTGCCCCCCCACAAAAAATACATTTTAAATACTTGGTCAGTACATAATTCCATATATGTTACTTTATAGTTTTGGTGTCTGTATAATTATTATAAAATGTAGAGAGTATTACAAACAAATATTTTGACTGGTTCTGTATATGTACATTGAATCATGACCAAGACACATCAAAGAGCAACAAAGTTAAGCCAAAGACCTTGGACACCACACCATGAAGCTCAATTATAATGGAGAGTGACAACAAAACCAAAAAAGCATGAAAATACACCTGTTACAACATTCCCTCTATAGACTATTCATATTGTGATGGACATTTTGTGCCTGCATCATTAAGGTAACTTGCCTTTGGTGACTAAATTATTACTTAGGAATAAGACTGAAGACACAGATATATGGTCTGCTGGTCCAGAAAGACATTCCATTGCCTAGAGAAAAATGTCTCCTTCCATAATTCAATATAATAAATGAAAAGTGCATTTACTTGAAGCAAAGTATTGGTGCAAAGTTTGTAAATCAAATATATTCCTCCTACAAAACATCAGTAACAACTTGGTTGATTTGAAAAAAAAAATTAATAAGTAGTAACACTCAGTTAATCAAATGCAAGTGCCTATGCATGCATAAAGAGGTGCCGTTTACTTCTGGCAGTCATGCGTGAAATAGAGCTGTTTTAGTCACATGGTAATATTTAAATCATGAAGCTAAGCAGTTACTAGTAATGGGTTCCCTGATTGTTAGACACGCATAGCAGGGCAGGATTTGAGGGACATGGTGACAGGCCTGCCTTGCAATTCGCAGTGCTGCTCTTTGATTGGTGCATTTGGTTCTCATTCTGGTGCCCGTCTTTGATGTATGTCGGTCACATGACTGTGCAGCAAGAGGATTGAGTAGAGAGCTTAATGTGAAATCCAGACTCATTGCCAGGATTCTAATCATATGATGTGTTAAAGATTGTGAGTTAAGGGTATTTGGCATGTGCTCTTTGAGGTTCTTCCAAGAAAGGCATGTCATAGTGTTCTGGTTGCCTTAATATGTTCAGCATCATGTGTGCCTTGTAGCAGAGGTACCTAGAAAGATGTTTTCAGCTAACAGGATTTGACCAAGATCTTTCTATCTGGACCTGTCAGAGGGCAGTCTGACGGAACAGCAGAAGAATACCTATTTATCTGACTGCAACTGCAAAGAATGCTCTATACTAATCTAATCACTACAGGGGGATTAAAATGTTGCTGATCCTAAAACCTTAAAACAGCACAAGGAAACATTGCGTTAGACACACAAACCCTGGAGCGCAGAAGAAGAAAGACCACCGGAGTAATTAATCATTTTAGATAAAGGGTGTCATGTTAGACAAATCTATGCATTGTGTGTACAATAACAATACGTTAACACCAGTGTCCAGGACAGCGTAAAGGCCTCATCACATGTTCGTATTTAATGATTCATGTTTTATGAGCAGTGCATAGACATTCATAAAAGATACATAGCTTTGCAGGCATTGTGAAGGATTTATCCAAGACTCAGCTTAGGTAATTTGTTGTAATTGTTGTTTTTACCTTGTCTGTCCTGCGCAAAAAGTCGTTTCCATGGCAAACCCCATAAATACTAGCCTTTTGAAAAAGAACCACTGTCACAGCACGCTCTGTTTATCTGACAATTTTTATTCAGTCGCAGATTAGGCATATTTAATTATTCCCTAACAAAGACGAAGGGACTGTGTGCCACAGGAAAACACAGCCAACTTTAACAAAAGCTGATTTATCGTGCCCCTTCAAATCACATCTCTCTGACATGAGTGGAAATGACATTTGAAAGGAAATTTAAAAATAAGACCAGTGACTCACCTCTTATTAAAATCTCCAGACTTCATTTTATACCCGCCTGAGCTGTCCGGCATCATCAGGATTGGAGATTCCGACGCGATGCAGAAGGTCATGGTTAACCTTGATGTTGACAGGACTCGGGACTTCTTTAATAGCATTGTCATGATTTGATCAGCACCAGCCTCTGCCTCTGAGAATTATGGTATAACTTCAGACTGACATGGCAGAAGATATAAAAACACAATATAACAATATCTAGGAAGATACTTGAATGCCAAGGAATTCTGCAGGACTTGACTGTGCGTGATAGTCCATTGCCACATCTCCGCAGGTGAAATTGACTATATCTGTATCATTTATAATTAGACCTGTAATGGCAACCTGTAGTGAATAACTAAATTAAACCAAAAAATGCTTAATCTTTTAATGCTTTTTTTATATGTAATCTTATGTCAATATTGGATTGTTATGACATGCCTATGCTTTTAGCGCAAGTCTTCAGTTATTTCTCTACAAGCTCTTTTTTTGGGGACTGACTGATATGCAGTGATGAATTCATTATATTCAGACACTTTGCAGCGGAGGAGAACAGCAGCTCACTGCTGCCAGTGACCCTCTCCCAGGGTGAATAATGAATAACTCTTATACAGGATATATGTGTTCACTTTGTGTTCATTTGCAATTTATATTTAATGAGTAATGCTAAAGATAGTAACCGCATGCCACAAATCTATCAGAACATAATGGCGTGAACATCCTTAATTCTACATCAATAATACACCGAGTGACATCACATAAACAGTGAATGTGACTTACCATCATGCATAATACACACACCATTCCATCCCACTCAGCACTGAGGGGTATAATGTAATAAAAGAGTCTGTGAAGATTCTTTGGATCTTTTCTTCCTATATATAGATTCCACATTTGCCGCACCTTGTCACAATGGGAAAACTCAAACGCCCATAGCAGGGAGGTGTGTCCTGCTATTAAAATGCAAGTTTGAATTTCTTTAGCCTATAAGACTCCCTCTAAAATCAATTCCTACGGTAGATATAGGATGATCTCTAGCAGATTTTATGGGTGTAGACTAACTGTGCACTTCTTCATAATATTCCATTTTTTTGTTACACATTTTGGCCTGGTTTTCATCAGCCAGAATTCCATCATCTGTCATACTGACTAACTGTTGCCTGTCTGGGAGTAAGAGTCATTTGATCTCTTCTTGTATGTTGCCACCAAGATTGGGCTGTATTCTAGAATCTCTACATACAAACACAGTTAGAACAGGTAATCTAGTATCATGTTGCCATAGCAATGTTAAGGTCAAACAAATATTCTCTAAAGCTCCTTATGCCATAAATATCCCTCATATTCATTCTGAGCCACAACCCAAAGCTCCGTTTGGATTTGTGCCCACTGGATGCAGTAACTGTCCACATATGATCTTTACTGGAATGGTGCAAGAATAGTGAATGTTGGGAATGGTCACCATATGGCAATTTAATAATCTGACACTCCTAGAAACAAGAGCACAAACTCAAAAATGTACCTAATGAAACAGCTGCAGGTTCAGCTCATACGATTTACTATGCCATTAATAGAAAGGTCCTTGTTTGCCTATGAAAAGGTCAAAAGATTGTTCTGTTGCTATATATCCATTTTGCTGCTGGAGGAATCAGTTCAGCCATTCTTGGAGAAGTGATTAAAATTATTTTGGCAGAGGTCCACATCAGCGCTTTCTGCCCACAAACTAAATAGCTCAGCCAGGCGAAACCGGAATTACATTTGAACCCAATAAAAAAGGTGAGTCAGTTATGGCCATTATGCACGGACTGTTGTGTCTGCAGCAAGGAGTGACTCTATGAATGGAACAGAGCATCATTTCAGAGTGAAGGTGTTTTGGAGACAGGAAGATGGCAGAAGCTACAGAAACACTCTGGAATCGTGGGACTGCCAGGGTGATAACTCTTAATGACTTCTGAGCTTCCAAGCACAGAGGGAGATGCTAAACTGGATGCCATATGAATAACCTTCTGCATTACTCATCCATCAACCCCTTCCTGCAAGACTCACACCTTCAGGGACAAAAAGGGAAATGTCCATTGCTCTTATTCTATCATTGTCTGTTTACTGATAAATAGTGCATTTATCTAAATGCAAGGTGGTTGTCCAGAAATCCTCATCAGTTCTCAACAGTACCACTTTGTTCTGAGGTTGGATTCCGTTCCTTCACCACAGCCACGCCCCCTCATCAGGTCTCCCTCACCAGAGTACTGATTCAACTGTGTCACTCTTTTCTTTCTGGTTCCTCTTAATTGCCTAGCCTACTTAACCGGTCTAACTGGTTTCTTCACTGTGAGGAATTGTTGACTCATGTCCAATCTCCAAGTGTTCCTGATCCCTGCAACCACCCCCCCACCCCCACCCACAAGTGCCTGGTTTTCCTCCCATGTGGTTCAGCATGAGTGATTCTCCCAAACTCCAGCCCGGTGAGTATGTGTTCTAATCCCCCTCTCAGTACCAGTGTGTGTTCCACTTCTCCTGTGTCTGCATGTGTGCCTGCCTTACCCTGCACCCCCAGGCATGGGCAGATTATGACTTGGTCCCACTGGATCTTAGGGGGACCTCAAGCGATGTCCCATACGTTGTGATGCAGTCCGTGGCAATTTTTAGATTAAATCATCATGTAGCTATGGCAGTGCAAGTTATTTAAGATACTACACCAGTTTTAGCCAACTGATTTCTGGGGCTCTAAGGCCCCTTTAATTACCTAAAGACGGTCTCAAGCCCTGTCATCTATGTTCGGATAAAATTCTCCAGTATCTATGCAGTGCTACTTCTAGGAGGCCCAGAGCTTAGTACCCTGATTGTGGGTTTTGGGGGCCTCGGTTTCCCATTCCCATTTTTAGATGAAATCATCCAGGAAATAAGGCAGTGCTAGCTGTTTTAGGAAGGGCCCGAGCTGTCTTAGATTAGCACAAACTTTGGGTTTGGGGGCTCCCTCAATTACCAAGGGGCGCCCAAGCTTTGTTCCCGTTTGTGAGACCCTTCAGCAATTGTTTTTAGATAAAATCTTCCAGTAACAATAGCACTGCTAGTTGTTTATGGAGGTACCTTTTTGGCATGTGTACACTACATGATTTTAGCCTGTGCAGTTTTAGCCTACGTTGCTTTAGCCTACGCTGCTTTAGCCTGCACTGCTTTAGCCTGTGTCTTTTTAGCCTGTGCCAGTTTAGCCTGCGTCGTTTTAGCCTACACTGCTGTA